TTTCTCCGTAAAAGACATGTTTTCTTCATCTATTAGAGCACTAGTGGGAGAGCAACAAAACAAGCGTACCCGCCACGGTCCTGGTCGTCTTCAGGGCTAACCAGTACTCTCTTACTTCTAGCCATGAGAGAAAAAACTCATTCACAAAACAGTTTAGGAGAGTAGAGATGAAGAAATTGTCGAAAAGTGAAAGGCATGGGAACCAAATCTGATAAATAACGAAGGCATGCAACAACCTTCCATACTATGGGGCGAATTAGGCCAAGGCACACGTTGAAATAACGATACAATTCAATGATCACTGGGTCGATAGGTGGTTTGAACCCTAAAGTAAAATGGTAGGTGTAAACAAACGAATAACTAGCTTGGTATAAGGTAATTCTCTGGTTGAAAATAGAGACTAAAACTGGAAAATTTGATTTCCAATAACATTCTCTTCGAACTAGGGAGAGAAGGTCAGTAGTGATCAAACTTGGATAAAGGTCACCAGGATTAAGGGAGGCCATAGAAGAGACTTGATTCCTTATTATTTCGCGATTAGTTGCAAAAGAAAATTTCTGATGAACAATCTCTGCAACTGTGAGTTCACGCACTAGTTCATTTAAATCTCTATTCCTAGAGGAGGATCTAGGGGTTAAAGGAGCCCTAGGTTTAGAAGAGGAAGGCGTAGCAGCACTGCCCTAGGAAGAAGAACCACGATTAAATAATGAGCCAAGACTACAAAGTCTACCACCTTTCCTACTTCTAGTAGGGACAGTAAAAAGAGCAAGTTCGTCAACAATCACAACCTTAAGAGAGTCTGGTGTAGAAAAAGACATGATTGTCCAAAGGGTTAATAAATATGGCGGATATTGAAGAAGGAAGACTTCAAGAGATAAAAAAAAGAATGAAGTATTTATAAGAAGACACGGCCATCATTAAAAGTAGGTCATTATGAAGCGTCATAATGGAACCATCACTTCGTGACTGACGCAACCGCAGAAAAACCCTAAAAAGCGCAGAAAAACTGCAGAGCCAATCATTAGAAGCCACGTGGCATGGGCATTAAATAGACGTGACATACGTCACATCGGTTCTGAAGGGGACACAATGATACTCGAAAAATGGCAGCAATTCTAAACGCTTACCACTTCCTGGATTTTTAATTGGAGAAAAAAGATGTCACACGTGGAATGTTAATAAGCCGACGAAGCATGACACCTGGTATAATGGCATAGTGAAAAGTGGCATGCTCGATTAGCGAAATTAAGAATACAAGGAAGGTACGAGGAAAACACCCACGAGATAGTACAGAACAGAGGATCGGGTGTGAATAACTGTAAAAAAGAGACGCGAATGGAATGAATCAAGGTAAAAAAGAAGGGAAGCTACATGAACTAGAAGTAAATAAGGAAGGGGAATCAGAATTATTGTAAGGCATTTATAGCTACAAATATGTCAGTTATGGTTATCAATGTTAACGGACAATCAATACAATTAATACTCATAATGAATTCGTCTTAAATAGGAAAAATGTTATGATTGTATACCCCTATATAAGGATAATGAATTTTACTTGTAAAGATAAGTTCCAAGTACTACTGAAATACACTTTACGATTTCTTGCTTTATCAAAGTCTCTTCCTTAATTTTAGGGATCTACTTTCGTTTCATTCCTTATTTCTTTCTGTCTAATTTACGTTATTGCTTTCGTTATTTTTCCAAATAGATTGTTGAGGAAGTAAAGTAAAATTAGGTTATCAGTAATTCATTTTTCTTTAAATATAGGCGTTGACTGAAAATTCTATTTTTTGGTTAAACAGAATCCACCAGTAAGATTTCACTACGTTGTTATTGTTGTTGTTATTGTTGTTTATCATTTTTATGGCTCGGAATTTGGACTAGAAATTAGAATTAGTTCAGAGAAATACTAATTTACGTTATTGTTTGAGCAAACACTTGAAATAGAAAAGATATCTGATTATTTAATGGATTATTCGTAGTTTTCCTCTCTAATCTTTAAGCGTTAAGCGCTCAGTAACATTTGTTGGTTTTGTGATAGGGAAGAGTAGAGTTCAAAGAGAAAAATACTACAGTAAATTAGAAATAAGACAGACATTTACACACAATGTCAGAGATATAATTAGGGGCGTAGGTAGGAGGAAGGGGTTCATCCAACCCCTTGCCTGAAAATTACATTATGCATATAAGGTAAAAAAAATTATGTATGCATATTAGGAGTTGAATCCCTTTTTTTCAAGTTTTTTAATTTCTCGAATCCCTTGGTAAAAATCTTGTTTCTGTCATGGAATATAATAGCTGCGTTTCCACCTTTTACCTATTGCTATTCGAAATAATTTACTAAGAACCCATTTGTCCTTAAAAAATAAAAAATAAAAATTTTGAGTGACAGAATGTTGATCATCAGCCAAAGTAATAACAACTGCTTCCATTTGAGAAAATGATGATGAGGATTTTAATATTCTATGTTCAATCTGTGAGTAGGCAAAGCTCCCACAGTAGATGATCGAACACCATTCCATGCATACCTTCTTTAAATTTTCAGTCAAATCTTGGCAAGGTACTCTTCGTAATATCTCAATAACAATTTCTTTAGATATAGAAATGACATAATGTTGCTTTTTCTTTCCCTTTCTTCTCTTTGAGATCTTCATTCTTTCTTTTTCAAGTCCCTACTAATCAATAAAAAATGGTCAAATATTAAATAATGGGGTATTATTACTTTTAGCCGCGCTAGAAACTATTTACATTTGGTAATCGACAAAAAAACATATAAATTTTTAATATTTTTTGTATGTAATATACATAATGTATATATATACAAAATATATACATTTTTGGGTTATTATTTTGACAGCAGCGGTTATATAATGTCATTTTAGCACTACTTCGATAATAACAAAACTAATAACGATAAGTTGAGTTTCTTGCTCTCCTGCAACTAAAATTTTAATTTCGCAAAAAATATCGAAAATTTTGAGGAAAGGTTTTCCTGTTACAAGTGTTTGATAGTGCCAAACCATTAGATACACCAACAAAAGGACGTAATAGGCACTCATCCAATTAATTTAGGTAAGAATAAATTAATTATGCCGCCATTTTCCTGGATAAAATATATTTGGGCGAGATATGTGATGTTGAAAATGTGATAAGATATATACAAAAGTAAAGTAAAAAGGCAAAAAGTCTTTTTAAAAGGATATATGAACAATAAGAGAACGGCTGTCAAGGAAATAAATCAAATGAAAATACAAAACAAAGCAAATTAAAGAAGATATTCAAAGACCGTAGAAGAATCACCAAACCTTGCTAATCAAATTCTTGAATTAAGTTTTGTTCTCTTCCCTCTCAAAACTTATATAATTCTTACTTGGGAAATTAATAGAAATGGATATTTTGTAGTTAGAGCATATAAAGTTTTTCGCCGTCATTTCAGCTTTGATAATAACAGAAGAATCCGAAGAAAGGTTACATTATAAAATTATGCAACTTAAAACTCAACATTTCAAGTAGTGGAAAAAAGATGGCAACCTCGTCTATTCCTACTTTGGTGGAAGTGGATAGTTTAGTGTGATCCTAGCAAAGCAAAAGACTAGGCCTTCCTTGTGAATGTGTTAACTGCGGAAAAATAAGTTAAACAACAAATGAGTTCTAATTAATTATGAAAAACGAAAATGTGTGTCATAATAATTGTTGATGTTTTACGTCTGGATTCAGGTAAAAGGTCCTCTGCCTCTTGGTGGAGATATAAAAGCATTGCATTTGATCTTCTTCTTTTTTTTTTTTTTTTCAAAANGCAAAGCAAAAGACTAGGCCTTCCTTGTGAATGTGTTAACTGCGGAAAAATAAGTTAAACAACAAATGAGTTCTAATTAATTATGAAAAACGAAAATGTGTGTCATAATAATTGTTGATGTTTTACGTCTGGATTCAGGTAAAAGGTCCTCTGCCTCTTGGTGGAGATATAAAAGCATTGCATTTGATCTTCTTCTTTTTTTTTTTTTTGTCAAAAGATATATCTGTTGTAAAATAATACTAATAGAAAGACAAGAAAAGAGAATTGCAAAAATTCTTATTGGATAAGGTAGCTTGATATACAATACAGTACGATATGATACGTTATGAAATGATACGTAACAACCATCCAAACAAACGGTAAGAAAAGCATGCTAACTTTTAGAGAAAGAATTCAAGCAACTATATAATCTCTTTCCTTCTAGGAAACTTTTTTTTTTGCCAGACTTAGCCATACAAAATGAAGGGACACATAAATTATTTTATATAGAGATTTGCAAGAAAGTACAATCACTATATTGCACATATATAGGCATATTTTATAATTTTAATATTATTAAGCAAATAAGATATTCAACCTTCTTGAATCAGTTTAATTCGTTTTTTCCACTCAAAACTTAATTCTTATCTCTGCAAGTTTTCCACTCAAAAATAAGATAGTTTCGTTGTTGGAACTTACAAATAATTAGAATTATTTGGTACAGAACAATCCAAAGAGATATTGCAAGCTCTTCTACTACTTTGGTGGAAGTGGATAATCAGTTTGATGCAAGCCAAGTAAATCAGGTGGGTGTTTGGACCGTAAACTCAGTTATTTTTGTATATTTAAAATTATAATGCTAATAAATAACAAAAAAGAGCAATTTGGTTTAAATTTAAATTCAGAATGTAGTACACCTTTAAAATCCAAGTTGGACCAACAACCTTTTGCAATCACTGATCAGAGAAATTTGGTGCTTAATTGTGTTAATCCCTTTTATATAGTGAAATCAAGAGGCGGTGAAAGTTCAATATATTCGTTACAGTTTTAATTCTTTTAAAGTTACACAGTCACTGTGAAATTTGTTCGACACATAAAAAAAATGATTTATATTAGGTAAATCTTACGAAATAATTTTTAAGTTCTACATTTTTATTTTTTTTACATATTTCAAGTACAAAAAAGATTTTAATAACAAAAATTTTTAGGAGGAGCTATTTGAAATTTAGCCGAGAGCACGAAAAATTAAATTCCAAAAGCCTTTAAATAAGCGCAGTTTCAAATCTTCAGCTCCTCATTTCCTTCTCGTGAAGATGTCAATTGCAGTTTCGCAGCAGATCTCCCTATTCCTATCCCAAATCGAAAGCCGGAGGTTTGTTCCATGCTCATTTTCTCTGTCTCTATTTCCGATTTATCTATAATTTTCATTCTGATTCAGTAAAATGCGCTTGATCTATGCATGTCTTTTGTGCAGATTCAATGAAGCAAATATTCGAGTTCTCGAATCCTTTTTAGCTTCGAACGACTTCAAATCCTTGGACGGGGTGGCGCGTGCTTTGAAACAGTTCATGAGAAAGGAATCTCTCTGCATTATTCAGGAAATCGCTGGAAAATCTACGGAGCATAAGCTTCTGATCGTCGATTTTCTAGTACGCGTTTTTGCTCTAATTGGAGATACTGAGGTATGAAGCTTTGGCTTTATCGAGTTTAAATTGATACATAATTTTTGTACTTTTTTATTTTGATTTGGCAAATTATTAGTAGTTATTAGCAGAAAAAGTTATTTGGAGATAGGAGTTGTTTTTGCAGGATGATGTTGATGACACTACAAATGCATATAGTGAAAGAGGGTCTGATGCGTTAAACCATGTACTTTGCTGAAATTTCGTGATAAGTAGAAGACTTACTGAAATTTTGTTGGTGTTTGTGTTCGGTAATTGTATTCTCTTTGAACTATATATGTCATGGAGATTTTTTGCTTCGAAAGTTGCTTTCTTAGCGAATTTTAGTGTTCGAATGCACTTTAATATGTATTGCTTAGTAGACTACGGATAACTTATACAGCTGTAGAAGTGGTGGTGCTTTTGGTGGTGGTTGCAGAAGGTAAGGTGACTAGCAAAAGATGTGAACAATGATTAGTTGCTGGCTGGAGAAACTGGTATTAGGTTGTACCGGTAAAGGAAATATATCCTTCCTTTTGTATATATATGCAAACTGTTTAGGGGAAAAATAGAGAAAATGAATTACTTAGTAGAAGCGATATTAGGAACATGAACCATCTGACTCTCCAATAAGTGTAATGAAGGAATAATTCTAAGCGCCACTATATACCTGACGGCTTAAGCTGAAATTCTTTGAAGCAAAGGAGAGGAGATCAATTTGATGACTCGTAGCCATATTTATGGATCACAATTTGGCTGACTGTGAGATTTAAGAGTTTAGTGTACGTGGTCTTCAACTGAATGTCATTGTACATAGTCGTGAAAGTTTATTTGCTATTAGAAACATGGCACCGTGGTTCAAAGTTCATCTGTTTGGAACTTGCTAGATATGCTTACATAACTTATCAGATGTGACAGTGTCTTAAATGTTATTCGACATCCAAAGTGGTATGCATATCCTATGCTGTGAAACTTTTTACAAGTTACAACTGACAATGGTTTTAATTTCTTCTGTTGTACCATTTTTCTTTTTTATCTTTTTATGTTAAGAATTACTAATATCTTATTTTTTGTTCCAAGTACGTGACTCTTGACTATTTGGATATTCACAGAGTTGCTTGGCCTTGAGATATGAGGCATTGCTTATGAGAGAGCAAAAAGCCACCAGTGATCAAGGACTTCTTGTTTCATATAGTGAGTGGCTCACTTTTGCTGAGCATTCACTGGAAAATGGCTTTTGTTCCATCGCAAAGAAGGTAAATTTCTGTCAAAATTTTGTACTTGTAAGCATATTACATGTGGAAAAGGGCACAGAATAAAACTTCTAGTATGTGCAGTTCGCAGCAAATTTAAGCTCACTTCGTCTGATTTTGATCTCTGCTTTACAATTCATTGTACGCTACTGGCATGTTAAGGTCGGAGTTATTCTAAACTAAAGTACTGCTCGTACTGTTCCTAGTTCTTCATTTATGTGCATGTAAAGGATTAGTTCCAAAATCACAGCTTGAAGGTTCTCATTGTGTCATCATGGTTTTCCCTTATGGATATGTTTGTAAATCAGCCAGAAGTGAACTTTTTAATAGGTTCTAGCTGGGCTGGAATAACTAAATTTATTTGATCTGACATTCAGCGAAAATCCCAAAACTTTGGTTACCTCTATGCCTCTTGTTGGAGGACATCTCTTTACGTAGGCTACATAACTAGGAATTACACTTCACTTCTGAAAACATCTCCTTATAATTGGCCCCTTCTCCTCAGCTATGAGTTCTCCTGTTTCTAGAATAGTATGGACAATTTGTGATGGTAGGAATTAGATCAGTAAAGCTACTTAACTATTGCATGTTTAACATCTTGCTGACAAAAATAAACTATGTATTTCACTCGATGCTAGCTATTTTGTGCGTTACCTTTACGTACCTTGTATCTTATGGCATCAAAATCTAGAGATTTTATAATAACCTACAGCTTATAGCGAGCCTATCTCAATATCCGCCTGTAAATTGTACTTTTGCAGGCATGTGAAAAGGCACTTTTATGCTTTGAGATGAACATCGTGATTGACCCTGGAAAAGATGACTTTGTAATTGAAAAAATTAAGAAGCTTAAAGATATTGCTGTGATCTCGGCTTCTTCAAGATCAGGTATTTTCAAGTAATAACATTTCGTTAAGATCAATCATGTCTTGACCTTCATAGTTAACGTCAGTCGTACTCTACTTTGGTATACTATGCTCTATGATTTGCTTCTATTATCATCATTTCCTGTTTACTTAATAGCAGATTACCCCAGACCTCACACGTGGGATTATACTGGGTTGTTGTTGTTGTTGTTAATAGTGTTGAATTCTGTAATGAACGCTAATTCAATGTGTGTGTGTGAGATTGATCGAGAGAACAAAAGAGAGAATAGAAGCAGGGGAGATAGAACTGTAATAGAGTTGCAGAAGAAAATGATTTTTTTCTCTTACATTTACAATGTGTAATACAAGTATTTATATACAATTGACTAACCATGGTTAAGTTAACAACTAACTATAGTTAAGTACCGTGTGCACTGGCACTATCTTCTACACCCCCCCTCAAGCTAGGGGAAATGAAGATGTTCTTCATTCCTAGCTTGGAAAGCAAGTGATGATGCTGCAGACGAGAAAGACCCTTAGTAAGAACATCAGCAGGCTGTTCAGTCGAGGCAAGGTACATAGTCTTGACCAAACCTTGCTGGATCTTCTCGCGAATGAAGTGACAGTCGATGTCAATGTGCTTTGTCCGTTCATGAAAAACAGGATTGGCAGCAATCTGGATAGCAGATTTGCTATCACAGTGAAGAGGCACAGGTAGATGAAGCTGAACATTGAGCTCTTTGAATAAGCCAAGTGATCTCAGCGACCGTTGATGCCATACTCCTGTACTCTGCTTCAGCAGAGCTCCTTGAAATGGTAGACTGCTTCTTTGACTTCCAGGAGATGAGAGAATCACCATACATGATAAGGTATCCTGTGATAGATCGTCTAGTGTTGAGGCAGGAAGCCCAGTCTGCATCACAAAATGCATGCAGCTGGGCAGCACTAGAAGCAGAAAAGAGAATACCCAAGCCAGGAGCAGACTTGATGTATCTGACCACACGGCTAGCAGCTTCCATGTGAGACACTTTGGGAGCATGCATAAATTGGCTAAGAGTTTGTACTGCAAAAGAAATATCAGGACGACTGATGGTCAAATAGAGTAGTCGACCAATCAGTCGTTGATATACACTGGGGTCAGCAAGCAATTGATCATCATTTTCTCCAATATGTTGATCAAAAACAACTGAGGTAAGCTTAAGATTAGGCTCCAATGGAGTAGCTAAAGGCTTAGATCCAGTTAACCCCAAATCAGAGAGGAGTTCTAGAGCATACTTTCGTTGATGCATCAATATGCCCTCCTTACTTCTAGCAAATTCCAACCCAAGGAAGTATCTAAACTCACCAAGATCTTTAATTTTGAAACTATGCTGTAGAATGTCCTTAGTTTCCTGAATGAGATCAGAATCATTGCCTGTGATCAAGAGATCATCTACATAGATCAAAACTACAACCATTTTGTCCAGCACCTTCTTAGTGAGTAAAGAGTAATCTAGATGACTCTGAATAAAACCAGAAGACACCAAAGCAGTAGTTAACTTGATGTTCCACTGACGAGAGGCTTGCTTAAGTCCATAGAGAGACTTAAGCAGCCTACAAACATGGTGATCTCCAGGTGACTGTGTGAAGCCAGGAGGTAATTGCATATAAACCTTCTCAGTTAAATCACCTTGCAGGAATGCATTAAACACGTCCATCTGATAAATTTGCCAGTTGTGAGCTGCTGCTAGAGACATAACTGCCCTTACTGTTACCATTTTCACTACAAAAGAAAAAGTCTCCTGAGAGTCAATTCCCTCCTTTTGACCGTAACCTTTTACAACCAGTCGTGCTTTAAACCTTTCAATATCACCTGAAGCTTTATACTTTATCTTGTACACCCATTTGCAACCAATGGCTTTCTTCCCATGAGGAAGAGGCATGATGGACCAAGTATGATTATCCTCCAATGCTTGAATCTCTGCTTTCATAGCATCAACCCATCTTGGGTCCTTAGCAGCTTCAGAATAGGTTCTTGGTTCCACTTCAGTAGATAGCTTAGCAACAAGGCTTTGATAATTAGGTGCAAGAGCTTTGTAATTCAATACAGAAGAGATAGGGTACAGACAAGTGTTGGCAGTCTTTTTTCCTTTATCTGGTTGGACATAATCTTGAAGCCAAATGGGAGCCTTACTAACTCTGCCTGATTTTCTTTATGGTTCTGAAGGAAGTACTGGAGGTTGAGAGGAAGAATGCACCTTTGATACAATAGGGATTTCTGGAACAGGAGGAGAATTTGATGCAGACAATGTAGGAGCAGTAAGGATTTCTGATGTAGCAGGAACTTCTGATGCAGTAGGAGAAGCTGGTGCTGATACTGTAGGAATTAGAGGCTCAACTGAAGCATGTTGTCTCAATTCTTCATAAGAAGGAAACCTAGAAGAGGGCTGAAAAACAACTGGTTGTTTAGTAGCCATGTGTTGTTGGAAAGGAAAGACTCCTTCATTGAAAACCACATCTCTGCTAACAAAAATAGACTTGTTGTCCATGTCATACAGTTTATAACCTTTCTAAGTAGAAGCATAACCTAGCAACACTGACTTGATTGCTCTAGATTCAAACTTGTCTCTTCTAACCAAGTTAGTAGCATAACATAGACTGCCAATGACCCTCATATGTGACAAATTAGGTGGTTTGTTGTATAGCAGCTCAAAAGGAAATTTGTTTCCCAGCACTGATGATGGAACTCTATTGATCGCATAGACTGTTGATTCTACACAGTCTCCCCAGAATCTAAGAGGTAGATGTCCTTGAAATCTGATAGCCCGAGCAGTTTCTAGGATATGTCTATGCCTCCTTTCTACCACCCCATTTTGTTGTGGGGTATATGGGCAAGAACTCTGATGCAGAATACCATACTATTTGAACAATGTGCTGCAATGTCTGTTAATGAATTCTGAGCCATTATCTGATCTAAAGATCTTTATCCTCTTGTTAAACTGATTCAACACCATCACTATAAAGTCTTTCAGTATAGTAATTACATCAGACATAAGTTGCAACATGAAAATCCAAGTCCATCTAGAAAAATCATCAACCAATGTTAGAAAATATCTCATTCCATTATAAGTAGGTACCTTGTATGGCCCCCAAACATCCATATGAACCAGATGAAAAGAATCATTTGTCTTAGTACTACTAACTGGAAAAGGAACTCTTGTTTGTATAGCTAAAGGACAAATGTCACAGTGACTTATTGTAAAACTAGAATTATTTCTAAAAACATTAATCTTCCTGATTACTGCCATAGGCACATGCCCTAACCTCTTGTGCCAAATACCTGCATTCAACTCTCCAGAAACTGCCATTGCTTTTGCTTCTCCAGCAAACTGTTTCATTTTCCTTGAGCTTAGGACATATAAGCCATCTTCTTCCTTACCAGTCTCCTTCACCCTCCCAGTGGGAAAAAACATGGCACAACAGTTCAAAGCCTTTGTTAGTTTGGACACAGAGAGAAGATTAAACTTAAAATCTGGTACACAAAGCACATCCTCAATCAAGTCACCTCCTGCTAAGTGACAATCCCCTCAAGATTAGGTAGCTGAACCTTCCCAGAATTTCCTACTGACACACCATTTTTCAGTGCAGATTCATCATTAATCATGTGATTTGTTGCCCCTGTATCTACTATCCATCTTAGTACATTCAAATTATCAGATAAGTTTTTACCTGCCATGTTTGCACTAGCCTCAGATACTTGAGACTTGTTCAATAGTGTTAATATTTGATTGTACTCTTCTGTAGTGAAGAATGGAGCTAAGACTTGTCCATTTCCTTGTTGTTGTTCAGTATTAACTACATGATGACCCTGTGCAATATTCTGCTGTTGTTGATTGAGAACAAGATCAGCTACATGATTACCTCTTATGACTGCATTTGCTTTCTTCTTCCCTTTGAAATCAGCCGGATAACCTATTATCTTATAACAGTTCTCCTTGAGGTGACCTTTCATTTTACAAAACTCACAGTGCATGAGCTTGTAGCAATTCTCCCTGTTATGCCCTTTCATGTTGCAAAAATCACAAAACATAGGAAAATTTCTTCTAGGTTTCTGAGTTCCTCTCATGTTAGTAGTAAAGAGTGTAGTGGGATCAATGTGTTCACCTAACCCATAACCACCACCATATACTAATTTTTGACTTTCATCCTAAGCAATTAAAGCAAATGCTTGATTTACAGATGGTGTTGAAGACATCATTAGAATTTGACTGCGAGCTTGACTATAACCATCGTTTAGGCCCATTAGAAATTGCAATAACCTTTGATTTGTCAGATGAGTAACAAAGTCCTTGGACTTATCACAGCAGGAAGGCACAGGCATGATAGAATCAGTTTCATCCCAAAGATCTTTCAATTTTGAGTAATAAACAGAGACCGGTGAAACACCTTGAGTCAATGTAGCAACCTCCTTATGAAGATGATAAATTCTAGTAAGATTAACCCTATCAAATTTCTCCTTTAAATCATTCCAAACAGAATAAGCATCAGGACGAAAGAGTATACCGCTAAGAAGCTCCTTGCTTACATTGCTCGTAATCCACGATTTCACCAAAGCATTGCAACGATCCCATTGTTTCTCCAGATCCTTGCCAATAGTATCTCGACGAACAGTGTCGTCGATAAATCCGAGCTTATTTTTGCATTCCAGCGCCAGCAACATCGCTCGACTCCAAATGCTGTAATTTTCCATTTCGATGAGCAATATTCCGGTTTGTACCACTCCCGGCGAATCTGATGGCTGTAGATACAGCGGATGATTGTGATCAATTATGTTGGAGCTAGATTCAGCAGTAGAATTCACCATAATTGCAAAATTAGGTTTTCAATTGAACTTCGAAAATGAAGAATTTCTCGATTTCCTTTCTGAATTGCCGAAGAAAATCCCTAAATTCTCTCAATTAGAAGCTCTGATACCATGTTGAATTCTGTAATGAACGCTAATTCAATGTGTGCGTGTGAGATTGATCGAGAGAACAGAAGAGAGAATAGAAGCATGGGAGATCAAACTGTAATAGAGTTGCAGAAGAAAATGATTTTTTTCTCTTACATTTACAATGTGTAATACAAATATTTATATACAATTGACTAACCATGGTTAAGTTAACAACTAACTATAGTTAAGTGACCCAACTAACTAAGTACCGTGTGTACTGGCACTATCTTCTACAAATAGCATATTAGATAATGTTATGGCTACCTTGTCTAAAAATATTTCACGTTATCTAGAGCACTCACAATTTCTAGAACCAAATTGTGTAACCAGATAACACTTTCATGAAAGGTCCATTATTTACTAGAGCAGAGCATACATGTACAAGGCTGACTATGGGATGATAAGTTTCACATGGCTTTTCAGTTGTGTTGTTTGAATTGACTCATTTTGAGTAGCCTTATTTGTGATTCCAAGAAAAAATAACTACTATATGTTCAGTTCCTGTGAAAGTAGTCTGATCTCTTGAGGAAGATTGGACCAGAGCATGTTGCACAGTATGCATCACTCACGTCGTATGCAAATACAAGTATTTTGGTTATTAACTTTTGTAATCCTCAAGAATGGCGTCGATATTTTTCCTATCACAGAATCTATTTTGGAGGATTTGATGAAAGCAAGTGCAAAAAGATTTAACAATGATAATAAGGATGTACTTGAAAACTTTAGAATCTGCTCATAATTACTCAAGGGTAAAAAGGAAGTAGGAAAGATTGCTGTATTTCCTTAGTTTTAGCTTTAGAAAGTACTTTTCTCCCAGAAACTAGTATCTTTTAACATATAGCTATTAGCTTATTTTTTATGAATCATCAAGAAACTAGAAACTGCAAGGAAAGATGGGAATAGCAGAATTTGAGCAGGTTGATATGTCTTAATTATATGGAAAAATCAGGGATAGGTAGAGGATGCAGCAGCCTGAAAAATAAAAACTAAGGACTTTTATCTTTGTTTTTGACTTCTCTTGCATTGTATGTCCTTGACATGTTATAGTTGAATCATTGGATTGGATTATTGAATTGAATTCTGTAAGTTAGTGGAATGTCATCAAATGTTCCTTCAGAGCATGTAACAAGAAGGGGCGGCGAAGGGGAAGTTAACAATTATCAGTTCATTATTGCTAAAGCTTTCTAGTGGTACATTAGTTCAGGCGCAGGCAGCAGAATACTTCAAGAAGAAAACAATTCTGCAGACCTCACAAGAATCCTACATTTCTGTGGAAGCCAAAAGCTCAGGAAGCACTCTATTTAGAAATGGAATCAAAAGGCGTCACAGGCGCCAATTGGATGAACATCGACATTTGGAACAGAACGAAGAAGCGTCTGGAGACGTGCCAAATATTTGGTAGGTTATTCTGCCAATATCCTTCCTTCCCCTGCCCACTTAAGCCAAATATCATATTAATTTCATCGCTTAATTACAATTTGGTAGTGCAGGAATGATTCTTCTTAGAAGTATTACGATATTAGAGGTCACCAATTTGATAAAGAGATCAATTGCCCTTTCCATATGGTTAGTACAATCTCTCCCACAGATGATTACTTTGATATAGCACGATACAGTTACTACGATATATTTGAATCTTATAAGAAATTTGGTCGTTTCCGTATGCCTACGAAAAGAGCCAACTTTTGTGCTGTCGCGAGAACCTCTTGTTTCATCTATTCATTCTCCTCTTCAACATTTGCTCCTACAATATAATAAATAATTAGACGTCCCCTCTGGACAATTGTGATCAGTATCACTTTATGGCAATTTAGAATATAGTTAAAAAAGACAAGGTCAGACTGCCTGCTTTGTCTCTTCTTGACCTGAGTCCTGCAATGTGAACCTTGCATGCTGGTGATAAGCCTTCAAATAAAATATGTTTCTTAGGGAATCTGTAGTTAATTCTAAGCAACAAACAATGAGTACATTTGCAGCTAGAAATTTAATTAGCTTCGGCCCCTCTCCATGCAATCACGTGCCTATGCAGTTGAGTCTTCTGTCAGTTTTCATAATTAAGCAAATTGGATTAGATAAAGCCTACGAGTCAAAACCAGCGTGTTGCCTTAGTAAGAAAAGGCTCAGGCATATAAAAATTTCTTGAAATCAAATTACGCATAGCAACATTCACAACTAATTGATGATGGATTCTTAATGAATCCTCTTATGGGCTATGACCGATCTTAGCCCCTAACTCACCCTTTCTTGACATTGCAGAGGAAATATTAGATTTTCGTGGAAATTTTTTCTTAACTTTCATTAGACGGGGAAGGGGGATAGTAAGAATTATCTCACTATTGTATGAAAAACCTCCACCTTCTAACGATACCATTATACAATGAGCCTTGGCAGCTATATTGCCCGGACTCTCTAAAATGATGCCACACCCATATCAGATCCTTCAAAAATACACTATTTTTAGAGGATCCGACACGTACCCAGTACCATTTTCGGAGAGTCCGAGCAACATAGCTTGGCAATAGTCTTCATGGAATTAATTCTCACCGATGTTTGCCACTTTTTTTCCTTTGGTTTTTTCCTTTACATTTCTGTTTGCAATAAATAAAAAAAGCGCAATCTGGTACACAAATTATCTCGCATTCACACATGGTCGGGGAAGGGTCGCATCCCTAAGGGTGATGTAGACTGTCTACCCTAGTACAAGTATTAATTACTATTTCCACGATTCAACCCTTGACCTACCGATCACATGAAAGCAACTTTACCTTTGCTCCTAGGTTCCTTCAAAACTGACCCAAAAAATGAAAAAAAAAAAAAAAAGAAGAAGATAAATTCTCAGTCGAATAGAACCCGAAGCTTAGGGAACCCAAGAGCGCTTTCCAGCAGCAAGTGGATCTCCGCTAAGTTGTCTCTTCAAACTCCCCAAAACTCTAAGCAGGCAAGTAGCTATGCTGTCAAAGATTAGATTACCTTGAATTTCCATCCATTTAGTTGTCTTAACATGAAAAAAGACAAAAGAAAGAAGAAAACATCCATTTTCCCAATAATCGAATCTTCCATATCACCAAGTGCAATTAATGGATGCATTGAAGCTCGCATGTTTTTTATTTTCTCTAAGACGGTACTGAAGATGTCTGTTTTTCACCCTTACTTTATTCATCACCTTAAAATATTAGTAAAATAAGTGATTATGCCATAACCCCATAAACAATATTTACAAGGTTCTCATCCTGTCGACCACGTCTCTTCTTCCTAAGAGGGTTACTTGATTTGAAAATTGAAATTGGAAACTGAAATAGAAAAAGTTCGTGTTGTAGGAAGTAAAAAATGATTTAACTTATATACGCTAGTGTAAAAAATTTATGTTAAAGGTTAAAGGATTTAACCTACTTCGTTTCTAGGTTATTGATCCTATTTTTTATGCATTGATACATATAATCATATTGAAGTATTAACCTAAATAGTCATCCACTCAATCACTTAAACTAAAAATAGTTGACGGACATATAATACATATATAATATGTATATAACCATGGATAAGTATATAATGTATGTATACCGGCTAGTAATTATAAATTGTGAATCTGTCGACTTCTTGTATAAAACTCCCAACCATATTTTAGGTGATCTGGTTGTAATAAAATTATTTTTACGTTGTCATTGTATAAAAGTTAAATTCAAAGAAAAAAAATGACCTGGTTAGTAGACTAGTGAACATAGAAAAATGGGTATGATAATTATTCAATTGTGTTCTAGTAGCTGGGAAAGAGAGCTGTTTTCCTCGGAATAGAAGATAAGAAGTTTGGAATCATGTGGAAAGCATTAAATGCTGAAGAGTGAGAATCGAACTTAGGGTTCTTCAATTCTCATTTGTTTAGGAGTATCATTTCAGAAACCTCGTGATACATTTTGCTCCAATTTGCTGTGGAGATTTTTAATTCTAGTTGTCGTGCTAAGCCATAACTACAGAAGAATCTTTTCATTTTCATGCCAACTACTTAATGGTGAATCAGACGTGTAACAGCTTAAATTACTTAATTTTGTGCATGTTACCAGTTACCACTCATGTCCTATTAAATTACAATCCTTTTGTTCTCATTTTGGTCGTCTCCAATTAATATCCAACTTTTCCAAATCTTGGATGTTAAAGAGACGACACTTGGACGAAATTAATAAGTAACCTGCCAAAATTAATTTTCTTGCTCTTGACAAAAAAAGAGTACTATCTGAGAAGACCGTTTATTTTTGGGCTTCATCTTACAAACATAAACTTTTTTCTCCTTTAAATGGAAGTAGATAAAAAAGTAGAAGAATTAACCTAAATAGCTGCCCACCAACCACTAAATTAAAAATAGCTAGTCGGTGTATAATATATGTACAAATATGTATATAACCGTATATAATTAATGTATAATAATTTATGTATACTAGCTAGAAAGAGTAAATAATGAATTAAGCTGGCTATTTGTGTAAAGATCCCTATGCAACTAAGNTTGAATTCAGGAGATCTGCTAAATATGTTCGAACATAATATTTCGTATGTGTACATAGGGGTGATTGATGGCTTTTCCAGCCATTACTATAGAGGTAATTGGAAGTTGGAATTTGTGTTAAGCACGTCGTATTTTGTAGATTAAACAACTTTAACACATGGTTTACAGACTAAACGATAATTTCCTTTAATAAGAGTCCTTAATTAATGTCTTAAACAATAATTTCCTTTAATAAGAGTCCTTAATTAATGTCTACCAAAATATTGTTCGGCTGCCGGTGGACAAGTCAATTGACACAAATTAAACCTTAAAAGGTCTAAATGTGGAAAATGAGAGGAAAAATTTAAGGTTTGCCCAACTCGATTTGCGCCAATATAAAATGAGCAGTATTTTGAAATTCAATAGACACTCCCCCGTCTCAAATTATTTTTCATATATCTTTTTCCACGGCTCTTAGAAAATATTAATTAGAAGTGATTTTTGACTATTTTACCCTTATTTATGTTTTAAAATATAATCTATCTTGATTGAATATTTATTCAATTTATGTGCCATGTCCATCTTCAAGAATAATTACTGCTAAGGGTAAAATGAGAAAAAAATAATTAATTTCGTCTCGAACTTCTAAAATGAGAAATAATTTGAGACAATTATTTTTAGAAATCACGATAAATAATTTGAGACAGAGGGAGAGGGAGTAGTAATTTTCTCTTACTAGCTCGAGCTTCTTTTTCCTAAAAAGAGAACTGAAATTTCATGAGTGGCTCCTGCTTTCTTTATGCACTAGTAGTATACCATAATTTTTTAGACCTCTCATTAGGTAAGGTTACCTGCAATAAGAGATAACTGTTTAATAAGCATGACCGGTAATTAACTTGAAAAATAGAATAAAAATAAAATAACATGTTACAATAAATGTGATACTGTTATTATTCTTCTACACCGTTATTGTATGTAGCTTGAATTGGCCAAAGAAAGAAAAAAATGGAGTACTACTTAATGTTTAGCTTCATTTGGGTAATCTGGGTAATTTGAATCCAATTTTCACCTAATTAAGTGGTAGTACAAGGGTTGAACAGGTTATTAGAAAGACATATTATCTAACTAAAATTTTATGTTTTCATGTGAATGTCCGCCAACAAACATTCACGTCGAGCTCATCTTTCTCTTGCTCGGGGTTAGGACTTTTGCATCGTTACTCACCATTTTGCTAAACCCTAACCCTAGTTGTTCTACCATGAATTTATTGCCCCTTGTCTTATCTAGTCTTTGATTTAAAGCACGTCTTAAAAAAAACACGTCTTTTCTTGATATTTAAAAATATTTCATTTGCAACCTTCATTATTTATTACTACTAGTAGTTAGTGTCAATATTAGTATATACTCCTAGCTACAAAGTATATGGATCTCAAATATACACGGGTCAAACAATAACGTGGAAATTAATCAAACTGCATTAGTTGCCAACCTTTAATGCATCTTGGCGGTGGTCAACCTCTCGTCCTTGATTCTTTATCATGATTTAATTTACTGGACAAACTAACTCAAAGAGTAATAAAATGAAGCTCGAAATGATTATTTTTTGTTTTCTTTATTAATCCGTAAAGATTTCCAACTTTATAATCATGATTAATCTTTCATGGACCTCTTTTTTTTTAATTGGAATTGTTCACAATATTTTATTGTCTCTCCATTCTAAAGCGTTATAAATAGGTTCCCAGCTCATTCTCTTCCAAACTACACTTTGTCCTAGCTAGCTACCACTACTACATCTCTCTTCCTTAATTACTTCTCATTAAAGAGAAATTTCTCTTAGTTCAAGTTGTCTCTTTGGCACAAAATGGGATCAGGAAGTTCTCCTTGTGCTTCCTGCAAATTATTAAGGCGTCGCTGTGCCAAAGACTGCATCTTTGCTCCTTACTTTCCTCCTGATGATCCCCACAAGTTTGCCATTGTTCACAAGGTGTTTGGTGCTAGCAACGTTAGCAAGATGTTGCAGGTTTCTCCTTCTTTCTCTCACCCTTAATACATCCTTCTTATGTAATACTGTCATACATCAACCCAAAAAACAACATTAATTAAACCCTTTATTAAGTAACTTTCACGTAGGGTTGTGCTATCATTTAAATCTACGTTTCTTTTAAAAGTAAAATAAAACTTGAAATGACTAAAAATGTCAAATGGAGAAACTCCGAGCACTTATCCCTTTAGTCGGCTCTATATGGTGTGAATCCAGACTTCCCCGATGCATTAAAGCAAATGAACTTGAAA